TTTTTTTTATAATATGCTTCAAGATTCGTCTCGATCAAAGCGATTTTTTGGTGATGTATCAAGGTGGATGCAATAGAATTGAGAAAGGAATGTAGCGTGTTGTCCAGCAGAAATGTCTACATCAATTGCATATAGTTACTTAGGCTTGATTAAAGCTCAAATCTGACAAGAAGATTAATAAACAAACTTGAATAAAATTGTGACACTCACATCATTCAAGCTTAGCTCGAGCTATACAATAAAATAAACGATCAAGCTTTAACAACTTTATACTACGTTCAGCTCTGTTCATTTAAACCTAATCTATAGGTTTTAGTTGCCAATCTAGTCGGACAACTGTTCAACAAGGTTGACCCTAGTCCAGATGCCATATTTTTAGCCAACTCCTCGCTTAAAATGATGAAAAAGGAGGGATATGGGAATCTGAAGACGTAAAAAAACTACAAACTATGAAAATGTCAATGGGCAATGATGCCCACTACAGGCCAGTAAAGTTTCGACTTCCAGAAGTCATTGTCACCAAGGAAAACGCTAAGACGATAAACATAAACTAAAGCAGCTGCAATAAAACTAGTCATCTGTCACCATCAAACAAGGATCTACAAAACAGCAACAATAAACAAATAATAAAATAAAATAAAAATTCACATCCCTACACAAAAGATTCCACCAGATCTCACAATATTACCCCACAATCGCAACTAAACTAAACCCTAGATATTGAAAACCGTCAAATCACAAACCAATCGTCAAGGATTACCAAGTTAAATACCAAATCAATGCCACCACTGCTGGTAGAAACGAATTTCGAAGAATCCTCCTCCGACAACGCATTCGCAGCTGCCGCCGGCGGCCCGGAATCCCGACGCTTCTTACTGCTCCGATTTCCCACGCTCTGCTCCGTCACCGTCGATTCTCCCGCCGACGCATCTCGGTGGCCTAATCCAGCAGCCGTAGCCCTAACTGCCGACGAAACTCCCACCATTGGAAACTGCCACATCTCCGGCATCGCACTCTGCGAGATCAAAGACGAAGGATCCATAAGAAGAAATCAACGAACCTACGTTGAATCACTCTTCACATCAACACCGAACTCCGCATTATTGCGTATGCTTACGCCCAGATCTTGTTCGGCAAGCGAAGGAAGAGAGCACTGGAGCTGTCAGACGGGTAGAGGGAGCTGAGTGGGGAAGGGTTTTGGTTTATTTTCTGTGGGGTTTGGTTTCCTTCCTTTTCTCTTTCCACTGATGAGCGGTAACAATAAATGAAGCGGTTTTCTACATACACGCCTTCTTTTACCTTATTTATGCTTATACCCTTTCTGTTGTGCAAATAAATTTCAAAATCATCCTCATAAATCCAACAAATGAAATACATATGGTCCTTTCACTACATTATTTATCGATATAATAATTTAGTTGTGTTATTCAATAATTTATTTATTATTTTTTTAATAATTTAATTATAATGAGAAATAGTACTTATTGTATGAAATTATTGATAAATAAAATTAATTTTTTTTAATTTTTATATTATTATTTTTTGAAATATAAGAAAATTATTTTATCATTCTTTATTTATTTCATATAATTTAGATGCTGATAAATCATGGTTGTACAATTATTTTAATGGATGTGTTAGGCTGGCCCAAAGCAGCGGCCTATCTTGATTTTTACTTATTAAAATAATACATGATTAACATTTTTTTTTACAATTTTGTTAAAGTATGAAGATGAAGTAATGAAATTACATAATTACCTTTTTTAATTTTAATAAAAAAAAATCTATTAAAATTCATCTAAAAGAGCAGTGTCAACCCGTTTGACATACGAGTCGGATTTAGATTGACAAATTTGACTCATTTCAAAAATCAGGTTAGGTTCGGGTTGACCCGGAAACCCAAAAATTACCCGGTTGACTCGTTTAGAAAATCGTATTCTGCTTTTATGCCTGTTCACGAGCGTCTGTGGGTTGCTTCAGACTTTTGCGACTTCCACCGTACGTCTACCACTTCCGCGACTTTCGACTTCTTCACGACTTCCGCTATCATGATTCGAGTTGCTTCCAACTTCCGCAACTTCCACCGTCTACCTGGCTGTGGCGCCAGCTAGTATGGTCGTCCATCCTTCGGTGGTCGTATGTGGTCCGCCAGTCCGTCTTCAAAGCTCCTTCATGAGGACCGTAATGTCCACACTCAGTAATTCGGAAGCTCGCCCGTGTGTTCGCGAGTCGGGTCGAGTCAACCATAACCCTCGTGGGTCGGGTCCGAGTTGGATTTCCTGACTCTTTTCCAAAAACGGATTGGGTTAGGGTCAACCCGTTTAGACCCGGGGTCAGTCCAAATTCGACCCGAACCCAACCCACATACACATTTTGACACCCCCTAATCTAAAATAGTCAAAAGTATTTTCTTATGTAATAGTCAACTCATTCATCTATTTTTTTTATTGTTTTCTAATTAAACATATTAATGAGATTTTAGAAATATTGATGATAGAGAAGATATATTATAGTGCATATAATTTCAGTTTTCTTATTTTTTTTATCTTATATATTTTAAATTTGTTTGTTGTAGAATATAGGTCATGTCATCATCGAAGTTATCTTTCTTGATTTTCATTTTCTCAATGCTCATATCATCATATGTTCAATCAACTTTTATATTTTGCTACGATAAATACAACAATATCACTAATATTTTATCAATCATTTTTTCAACGTCAAATCATAAAGCATGCACCCATCATGTACACAGTACCGGTATACAGCAAAATGATGACGTGGGACATCCTAATTCGTCTCAAGACGGCATCCGATGACCGCTCATAATAATTTCTCCCTCAAGTCACTATAACCTGTAACTTCAACTCCCACTTCCAAATGAAAACAATAAAAATCTTTTTCAAATGTGCTTGATGTGCATGCTCATTTAGTCTTTATAAATTATGTTTTGTGTTTGTCCTGACTGTGAAAATGGTAGGAGCGGCAGAGAGAGGAGATGGAGAAAGAAAACAGAAGTGAGAGAAACCGGAAAATATTATTCAAGAAGTTAACTGTACAGATACATAGGCAAGTGTATATATAGACTAAGTACAAGCGATGACCGGTTATGCCTTTGTTACATGGTGACGTGTCGGTTTCCTTAACAGTCCCCCTCAAATTGATCATTTTGTGAGCAAATGGTCAATTTGGAACGGAGATGTAGGAACCGACCGATTGGCAGAGACTTGGTAAGAATGTCGGCTAGCTGATCCGTAGAGCCGATGTGAGCTATGCGAATGTTGCCTTGTCTAATATGTCCAATTATGAAATGATGATCGATTTCTATGTGTTTCGTCCGAGCGTGGAACACCGGATTATTTGCGAGTGCTATCGCCGAGATATTGTCGCAGTGAATGGTGGTGGGTTCTGTTTGAGCAATGCCCAGATCTTGAGCCAGACGCCGAATCCATAGTACGTCCGAAGTTGCCGAAGATAAAGATCTGTATTCAGCCTCGGTGGATGATCTCGCTACCGTATTTTGCTTCTTAACCGACCATGAGATGAGGGTTGGTCCTAAGAAAGTGCAAAAACCGGATATTGATCTGCGATCTTGACTGTCAGCTGCCCAGTCGGCGTCCGTATAGGACTGAAGCCGGAGGCTTCCGATCTTGATGGGAAGGCCGAACGATAGTGTTCCTTTCAAGTAACGTAGCAGTCTTTTAAGGGCATAAAAGTCGCTGTTTCTGGGATTGTGCATTTGCTGGCAGATCGCATTCGTTGCGAATGCTATGTCTGGTCGCGTAATAGACAGGTATTGTAGAGAGCCGGCCAGCTTGCGGAACAGCTTCGGATCTGGGTACGCTTGATCATCCTGACTTCTGGACGAACGAGGCGAAGCCGGAGATGGAGCTGGCTTACAGTCGGCGAAACCTGCAAAACGAAGAATATTTTGTGCGTAGTGTGATTGAGAAAGGAAATATCCGGATGCGTTTTGATAACCTGAATGCCGAGATAGAGAGAGATGTCTCCTAGCTGTTCTAGGCTGAATTCTGCGCGGAGATGTTGTAGTGTGTCTGTCATTTTTGCGGTGTTGTTTCCAGTAATCAGGATGTCGTCTACGTATATGAGAATGAACATTTTGATGTTGTCCCGGTTGAATGTCAGAAGAGACGGGTCCGCGGTGCTAAACTGGAAACCGAGTTGCTGTAGAAATTTTGTGAGTTTGTGAAACCATTGCCTCGGAGACTGTTTAAGCCCGTAGATGGATTTCCGCAGTTTGCATACGTGTTGTGGAAATTGTGAATCTTGGAAACCTTTGGGTTGTCGCATGTATACTTCGTCATTTAGATCGCCGTGGAGGAATGCGTTTGATACATCAAGCTGTTTGATTGACCAGTTGTTGGTTAGTGCAACAGTAATTAACATACGTATTGTTACCATTTTTGCTACCGGACTGAATGTCTCGGTGAAGTTGACGCCGAATTCTTGCGAACAGCCTTGTGCAACGAGTCTGGCTTTGTAGTTTGTGATATGTCCCTCCGGATTTATTTTAGTTTTGAAGGTCCATTTGCTTCCCAATACGGGTTTGTCCTTTGGAACCGGAACCAAGACCCATGTTCCTTGTGCCTGTAGTGCCGTGAACTCATAGGTCATGGCCTGTCTCCAATTCTCATGTTTGGCAGCTTCATTGTATGTTTTGGGTGTTGCTTGGTTAGTAGTTGTAGCAGAAAGAGTGAAGATCTGTTTTGGCTTCGAGATACCAGATCGAAGCCGAGTTTGCATGGGGTGACGAACGGGAGGTACTCTGGACGAGCTGGGTGGAGTTGGCGGTATGGAACTGTCGCTGCTTGCCAGGCTGGGCTCCGTGTGAGGTATATGTTGATGTGTTTGGGAACTGGACGTCGGTTTGGTGTTTTCTGGATTGAGTGAGGATATGGTGGATGAGGGAATGAGGAGAAGCGGAGAGTAGTCTTTGTGCTGTTGCGGAGTGGGTGGAGTAGCTGCAGTTGTAGAATATGGAAACAGGTGTTCGTAAAACGTCACATGCCTTGAAATGTAGATGCGTTTGTGAATCATATCATAGCATCGGTATCCCTTGTGTTGGCTTGAGTAGCCTATGAAAATGCACTGCTGAGATCTCGGACATAACTTGGTAGAAGCGTATGGTCTGGTCCAGGGAAAACATAAACATCCAAACGGGCGTAAGTGATCATAAGCAGCATGCTTTCCGTGAAGCCGAAAGTGAGGAGTTTGATTTGAGATAGCGGACGACGGAAGACGATTGATCAGATAGTTTGCAGTTAACACTGCATCACCCCAGAAGGAGTTGGGAAGACTAGCTGCATGAAGCATAGTCCTGGTTAGTTCGATCAGATGTCGATGCTTTCTTTCTACCGTGCCGTTCTGTTCTGGAGTGTGCGGGCAGCTAATTTGGTGCTGAATTCCGTGTTCTGCGAGATAGAGGCGGAAGGCTTGCGCTGGTAAACTCGCCCCCCACCATCTGATCTTAAAAGTTTTTAATTTGAGAATTGGTGATTTTTTATTAACGCACATAAATGTTTGAAATTTAGTAAAGACCTCGTTCTTGGAATGAAGTAAGTACAGCCATGAGTGTCTCGTAAGTCATCTATGAAAATTACATAGAATCGAGAAACCGTTCAACGACGGAGAGGAGCCGGTCCCCAAACGTCCGAATGGACTAATTGAAATGGCTTATTACAGGTTGAGTTACTATGGGAAAATGAAAGTTTATGCTGCTTAGACATATTACAAGAAATGCAGAGAGCATTAGAAGTATCTAAAGAAATATTCGATATGTGTTTAGAAAGAATGTTAATCTTGCGATTGTCTGGATGGCCGAGACGTGCATGCCAGGAGATCTTGGAAGATCTAGTCGTGTGCATAGCCGCTCCTTTACTGTTGGTAGGAACCTTGATGTGATATAGTCCATTGCGAATTGGACCTCGGAGAAGAACCTGATTGTCCTGAAGATTCTTAATCACGAATTCGTTAGCAGTAAAAGAGACTGAGACATTGTTATCCGACGTTAAGCGGGATACAGATAATAGATTGTGAGAGAGAGTGGGAACGTGAAAAATGTTTTTCAGATTTAGCTTACTGTTAGAGTCGGGTAGCGGTAGGAGACCTTGTCCCGAATGCTGGATTGGGAGATGGCTTCCGTTTGCCACCGAGACAGAGTCGAATCCGCTATATGTGGTGGGATGCTGGAGGTTTTTGGCGTCGGTC